TTTACCCCTTTGGTAATCCTTGTCAGAGTTTGTCTAACACTTGTAAGTGTCTCCAGCTCATCACGTTCTTTTTTTTTTAATTAAGAAATAAAGTTTCCTTCCGAGCCAATTTCGCACTAATAGGGAATTTATAAGCTACAACGAACGGTAGAATATTTTGAGTTCTCCAATTGACAATGAATATGTATGGTCAAAGAAAGGTAAAGTGTTCAGCAACTTTGAATTACTCATCTTACATGAAACAAAAGGCCAATACTTCGCTTAGATTTAATATCCTCTTCCCCATCTGATTTAATCTTTACCACCTTATATACCTGCCAAAGCTATCTAGCTGCAGTCAATGTTTATTTTGCGATCAGTTTCCTTTGTCAAGTTTGTGCTCAGGCGATAAATTAAGAAAGTACACTCATTTGGAAGTATTTGGCAAGGACGCCTGCTTCTTCACTCATGTCTTTTCACTGGGAACAGGGAGCAATGAGAACAGGTCGTCAATGTACGCATAAGATATTCGACAAGCGGTGCGTGTTTTTGTAAGAAGATTTTAAAAGTCACGGCCTCGAGCAGACTGTGAATTGTTTTTAAAAAGGAACGACAAAGCCTCAAGAAATGATGCACGTATGTCCTGCTCGAGTTGAGAAACATGGTGGATCTAGGAATGGAGGTTTCCGCTTTTGAATTTAATGTTTTTCTATGATGTTGCTATTACAGTTTCCACTTGCGCAATTTGACATAGAACTAAAAAGTACAGAACTAAATGACAATACATAGCGATATAGTTACACTTCAATAAATTGATACTCGATTCTACTAGAGTAACGGGACGAAACTTTTTTAACTAGCCCATATTACTGATTAAATATCGCTACAGTAGTAAACGCTGGGGCTTTATATGTTATAAATTGTCAAGAATTAATTATATTTTATTTTGATGAATATTTTCTTCGCTGAATTGCCTCAGGTCTTTAGTCAGGTTAGAGTTAGGTGTATTAAGTCACTGTTACCTTTCTCTGACCTTCTTTTTAAGAACAGTGCATGTTGCATGGGAAAGCAAGTTATTCATCGCATTCTGCTTTCGTACAATTTTTATTGTCTTCACTTCTTTTGTTTCACTTTCGATTAATAAAAAGAGCTAATGTCATTTCATTTGCTCATAAGAGCAATCCAAATCATATAATCATCAATGATTGTGGTGTGATTCGTTTTCATAGTCGGGATATTGAAAATCTCGCCAATTATCAAAGATGAACTAACAGTCTTAGTAACATGATATCATGACTAAAAGAATTATGACTCTATGCAAAGCTTTTACATGCTAGTAATCTTGGCTCTAGAAGTCATCTACGTACGTTCATTGCAATATTTTGGTTGCGTTATTTAATTATATTTACCCCTCGTGCATTTAATAACGGCCCACGCGTTCCATTTCAGGCGCCTGCTCTGTTTTTGATATTTGTTCCAATTCTACGCTTTGGGATCGAAAAGGAGGAACGCGGAGAATATTGACTCTTCGAAAACAGTTCGGAAGACTTTTCTTAAAGGCATGTCGAAATTTTTGATTAAAGGTAAGATAAATGTAAGGATTGATACTACTGTAGGTAATTGCTATCATGATAAGAAATCTGTCAGCGTTAGATTTTACTTCTACGAAGCCTAAAGATGTTAAAGCGAGGTTTACGTCGTAAGGAAAACAGCAAACTATGTACAAAACAACAATAACAATCATCATGATGGAAACTCGTCTTGCTATCTTTGTCGCACTGTTTTGCCCTTGATTCTGGTTAGTTCCCTCTCCTGGTATCTCACGAGACCACAGTGTTCGACAAACTATAGTGTAGAGAACTGCCATTATTATTACAGGAATGAATACATTTACTATGGCTGAAATGGAGCGAGGTATTATCCACTTATCGGAAACAGTGCAGTAATAGTTTGGCTCGGCTTTAAAGAGCATTCCATTTACAAGGACATTTGTCGAGCCGGCAAGAGACCAAATCCACATAAACACCAATGTTTTCCTTAAGTGCTGAGATAGAGGCGAGCGCCTCAACGGTTGAGTGACTGCATAAAAACGCTCAACAGCAATCGCTACCAGAATCCAGCTGGTAAACAGAGATGGGATGACCAAAATCGAGAGAAAGGACCTACAAGTTATTGTAGCAAAATTTCCTCGAAACCATATATATCCCAGCTGGTCTGTTTGGAGAGTTATGCCTATACACCCGATCAATGTAAACCAAAGATCAGCGCATGCTTGGTTCAAGATCAAGTAATTTATTGTTGTCTTCAGGGAGTCATCTGCTCGTATGATGTGAATTAGGACTGAGTTTCCGAAAAGGGAAGCCAGAAGTATTAAATGCGTCAGCAAGATTAGAGAGGACATGTTTAACTCTACTTGACACTTTCCTGTGAGTGAAGGAGAAACCATCAAATTACTATACGCCTTTTGTCTACTGTGGCTAGTTAACCGCTGTATAATGAGTCACTCAAAGGTTTCGTTACGTTTGAGTTAGCAGCGTCAAATAAATATGACTCCTCTGTTCTCATCTTGAAGTCTTCCATATAAAACGCCTGTACTCACTTGCTAAACAGCTGGGCGAGAAATTGGCGAAAGGAACGAGGGACTTCTGATATACCTGACTCCCGCAATGAAGCCTCCTGACGTTTTGTTTTGTAAGCAACTCAAGGTATTGAAGAAGAATTTTTAATCTCGTTTTACCTGCTGATCTAGCCTTGGAACCATTTCAATTATTCCGAAAAAAGCTCATGCCTTGTTTGTTTAAGGGTTCTTTGCCAGAGTTAAGTCTGGATGATATTAAGGGCGATATAATTTCTGTTTGGGTATGGTTTGAAAAATTTAACCGGAAGGCAATGTACCACAAATGAAAGAGTTAACTCGTCAAAAGGATACTAGGCTCAGTTAAGAGCTTCAGATTATACACACTATCTATGTGAAGCTTCGTTTCTTGTTTTAATCAATAATAGTATTGCGTTACAAGTTTTTCTTACCTTTGAGTTCAGTTCCTTTGGTCAATCTGAGAAGATAAAATCCGGCAATATTTTCAAGAGGACAGGTTGAGTGAAAAACTTTCGTTTCCTGTTCAGTGATAACAATGGTTTACAATATTTTTATTTTCATTTTAAAGCTGGCTTGAATTTTAATTACAATAGATGTACCTTTGTATTCACAATTTCAAACAAGGTACGATGTTTGTCAAAAGCTTTATAGTGTAAATGAAACTCAAGTTGAATCATCGGAAAGTAAATCGAAACGAAGGTTAAATGTTGGCGACTTTTTATAATACCAAAACTTCCCGTTCTTTGTACTAGACTCTTACTACATATCTGAAAATAAAAATGTAAAAGAAATGGCAGTAAACGAATAATTCAATACTTAGTTAAATCTGGAAGCTAAATAATGTAGACAGCTTTGATCTATAGTCTTTAAAAAGGAATATGGGCAAATCGTGCAAACCCCTACTTGAATAATTTTTTTCATTTTTCTCCTTAAGCAGAGAGAAAGGGAGTCGCTGTAGAATCGCTTATAGCTTGCTTTTCTATGAAGTGTTTCTTGTTTAATGAAACCTTAAGTTTCATTTAACTGAATCCTATATAAGCAATTACGCTCTTTGCTGGTGGTGTCTGTCGTTTGATAATTAGTTCTACTCTAACTACAAACAACGTACCCTATTCCCTTTTCCATTATAGTGCATTCTGAAATGTCGATCGACTGGGTGGCTAAGGCAAGGGATGACGCAGGTTGTTTCTTATAAAATTAAAAGTGACAGAAATTTAATGTCTTTAAAGGAAGGGTAGGTGCTGTTACCACGCTGCAAATTTTTTTTAATACCACTGATGTTTTATGCATAGAACCCTTAAATCGTGTTGACTTTAGTAGCGATCGAAATTTTTTTGTAAGAAAATTTGTCAGTCTTGCACTCTTGATATAAATTTATCACTCAGTGCCGGGACTAAACACGACATGGTCTTTAAGACTTTGTGGATGTTCGTTCTCATTACTTTTTGGACAGAACCCTATGCTATGTCCGCTGTTCCTCGTTTTTCAAGCCCTGCGGGCTTGTGGATCTCATACGCTTCACGTTCCTGAGAATTTTACTGTTTTTATCTATTAAGATCCTTTTTTCAGATTTCTTTTTTTTATTAGTCGAATATACACCTAATACCCAACTGAAATTCCCACTGTAACAACAATAACGCATGCCTTCCCATTTTGTCAGTACTAATGACACAAGAAGCAAGCAACAGGGAAAACATTATACTCAACAACTTTAATGTTATTTCGGTATACAAAGGCAATGTGAACTTTATTCAGCAACGTCGCCCTTCATGTTTGTATGCTATTAAGCTACATGTTCTTACCTCTGTTTTAGTTCTATGTGTTGTGAACAAACAGAAATAGGACGTATGTCTTGAGGTGGGAAACGGCAATTTGACAATATCTTTTTACAGGCCTTGCGAAAATTTTGACTAAATGTGAGGTAAACGTAAGGATTGAGGCCACTGAAGAGAGATGGTAGCCACATAACTAAGAAAAGTAGTATTCCATTTAACTGTAGGTAATGGTGAGAATTTAAGAAGAAAAATGTAAACAAAGTGAACCAGCAAAAGGCGTACAATACTACCACCGCAATCATCATTACGGTGACTCTTTTTGCTATTCTCTGAGCCTCGATCTGATTGGCTCCTTCTCCTGGCACTTTACGTGACCAAAGTTTGTAGCACACTGCCGTGTAAAGACAGACTATTACTAGAAAAGGTAACAAGACACCCACAGCGAGATGTATATCGTTAAGGATGGTCCACTTATTTACAAGACGATATAAATCGCAATAATAGGATTG